CAATACATTTTATCGTAGAATTACCAACAATACATTTTATAGTTACAATTACCAATACATTTTATAGTAGAATTATCAACACTAAATCTTATAGTAGAATTACCAACAATACATTTTATCGTAAAATTATCAATACATTTTATCGTAAAATTATCAACAATACATTTTATCGTAAAATTATCAACAATACATTTTATCGTAGAATTACCAACAATACATTTTATCGTAGAATTACCAACAATACATTTTATCGTAAAATTATCAACAATACATTTTATAGTAGAATTACTAACAATACATTTTATCGTAGAATTACCAACAATACATTTTATCGTAGAATTACCAACAATACATTTTATCGTAAAATTATCAACAATACATTTTATAGTAGAATTACTAACAATACATTTTATCGTAGAATTACCAACAATTTTTATCGTAGAATTACCAACAATACATTTTATTTACAATTACCAATACATTTTATAGTAGAATTATCAACACTAAATCTTATAGTAGAATTACCAACAATACATTTTATCGTAAAATTATCAATACATTTTATCGTAAAATTATCAACAATACATTTTATCGTAAAATTATCAACAATACATTTTATCGTAGAATTACCAACAATACATTTTATCGTAGAATTATCAACAATACATTTTATCGTAAAATTATCAACAATACATTTTATCGTAAAATTATCAACAATACATTTTATCGTAGAATTACCAACAATACATTTTATCGTAAAATTATCAACAATACATTTTATCGTAAAATTATCAACAATACATTTTATCGTAGAATTACCAACAATATATTTTATCCTAAAATTATCAACAATACATTTTATCGTAGAATTACCAACAATACATTTTATCGTAAAATTATCAACAATACATTTTATCGTAAAATTACCAACAATACATTTTATCGTAGAATTACCAACAATACATTTTATCGTAAAATTATCAACAATACATTTTATCGTAGAATTACCAACAATACATTTTATCGTAAAATTATCAACAATGTATTTTATCGTAAAATTATCAACAATACATTTTATCGTAGAATTACCAACAATACATTTTATAGCAAATGACCACTTACCATTTAATCTGTAGTTGATGGCATACTATAGCGCTAAAAAAACCTTAGATTTCGGTATTAAATGACCCATAGAAATGTTGATATGGTGCCGGGGTTAAACAAAATCAACCAACTAACTAAACCGTATCCAAGGGGTAGTGAATTATTCAAGGCAGGAGACGTTCAACTCATTGAGGTATTTGATACACCCGTATACCCGAAGAAAGATCATTCTGATGCCTAGGAGAAGGAACAATCATACTTCAAAACCAGGGTAGATGAGACTCCTTCGTTAACTTGATGACAACCCTTCAAGTGGCCGACGGCTTCATCCTTGTGATGGGTGGGGGGCAATGAGCTGCTTTCCCTAATGATTACTCAGTGTTCAGTTCCCTGTTATTGCCAATATGCCTACAGGACTTAATATCGGGGGAGGGGCATGTATTTTCTATAAATATTTTTGAATCCATTAGATTCACTTACGTTGCTAATACACCTAGGAAAAGTATGAATCCTCTTCTTCTCCTCCCTCCCCAGCTATGGGTAAATAGCAGGAGTAACCGGGTTTTATAGCGTCAGATGGCAATTGGTCTACCGCAGAAAGAAATGGTAACCCACTGCAGGAAAAAATCAACCTTGTCAATCATGTATCGAAAGATCGCCTAAGCTTGTATCAGGCATAGCACATAACTGACTTACCCTTCTGGTATAAGTTTCCTCCTTTTCATTTCCTGTTATACTCAACTTATCAGACTGAAAATATATATATATATATATATATATATATATATATATATATATATATATATATATATATATATATATATATATATATATAGATAGAGAGAGAGAGAGAGAGAGAGAGAGAGAGAGAGAGAAGAAAAACTAGAATTGAGATTTTATGCATTTTATAGTTTCTTGTAGAACTAGAGGCACGGTGGAGTAATGGATAGCGGCTCGGATTGAGGAATAGGAGAACCGAGTTCGAATTCCAGTCAAATCCATTATGTGCATATTAGGAAAGGCATGGATCCTCTTCTTCTCTCCCCACACACAGCTGTGGATAAGTAGCAGAACTGACTGGATTCTATAGCCATGGATGACAACTGGTCTACCGCAGAAAGAAATAGCAACCGACTGTGAGAAAAAAAAAAACCCAAAAGAGAACAGAAAAACCAAAAAATGGAGACAACAGAAATAGTAACCGATAAGGACAGATAGGCACTTAGCTATGCAATAACATATAGTGCACCATGAACAAACGATCAAGACAGAACAGACACGCTAACTAGCAACAAAAATAGACAACGTTCAAATCGCTACTCGAGTTTCTCGCTATTGCGATCGTCAGGCGACCAGAACTATAAAGTAGCATTAGCATGTCTGTAATACCTACCTTGACTAGTGACGACCCCGAAGATTCTGATTTTCTATGCATTTCTGAAGTCGAGTCATTAGTAATGAATTTACATTATACACATAATAGCTCGAGTCTGCTAGTAATGGTTGCATTAATTCCCGACCTTAGTGTGCGCTTATTCGTTATCACGTTCGCTTTCCGATCATAAGACCCGCATTCGAATCTCACCATCGTCGGTTTATCAGGCAGGTAATCTTTACATGTTATCGGAAGCCGATTCCAACGCCTGGCGCCTTTCGACGGTGCCTGAAAACTATACCTCACGGGTTGGCCCACGCCTTGTGAGTTGAAGTGGGTCGACGGAATTGTTTGTCAATGGTTGTGCTAACACGAAGTCACAAGCCATCGTGCCCGAGGTACTTGCCTTGATCAAACTGTTGATCACGCCAGATGATGCGGTCTCTATGCCAGAAACTGCCCACTCAGCCTAGTTTCAGCATAAACCCCAAGTTAGCTCTATAGGTGTTGAACAAGCACAAATGTGCCAAAGCAGACGTCTGAAACAGGGATTGGCCAGCCATCCTAGCAGACAGGTATAATTGGAAAACGAACGACCATATAATTCCTAATCACTGTTAATCTTTGTTTTTGTCTCGCAAAGCATTTCTGTAATCAAATCATTAGTAAGGAATTTTATGGCTGAAGAATAAGTTCCAGCTTCACTGTGTGCCCCGTGCTTTCTGCTTTGTGGCACATCTAAGCTACGCTTAAAAATAACCATTGGTAATGAATTTACATTATACATATAATATCCCTATTCTGCTAGTAATTATATTATACATATAATAGCCATATTCTGCTAGTAATTATATTAAACATATAATAGCCCTATTCTGCTAGAAATTACACATATAATAGCCCTATTCTAGCCTAGTAATTATATTAAACATATAATAGCCCTATTCTGCTAGAAATTACACATATAATAGCCCTATTCTGCTAGTAATTATATTAAACATATAATAGCCCTATTCTGCTAGAAATTACACATATAATAGCCCTATTCTGCTAGTAATTATATTAAACATATAATAGCCCTATTCTGCTAGAAATTACACATATAATAGCCCTATTCTGCTAGTAATTATATTAAACATATAATAGCCCTATTCTGCTAGAAATTACACATATAATAGCCCTATTCTGCTAGTAATTATATTAAACATATAATAGCCCTATTCTGCTAGAAATTACATATAATAGCCTATTCCTATTCTGCTAAAGTAATTATATTAAACATATAATAGCCCTATTCTGCTAGAAATTACACATATAATAGCCCTATTCTGCTAGTAATTATATTAAACATATAATAGCCCTATTCTGCTAGAAATTACACATATAATAGCCCTATTCTGCTAGTAATTATATTAAACATATAATAGCCCTATTCTGCTAGAAATTACACATATAATAGCCCTATTCTGCTAGTAATTATATTAAACATATAATAGCCCTATTTTGCTAGAAATTACACATATAATAGCCCTATTCTGCTAGAAATGCTTTCTTTCATTCCTGAACACTGACAACTTTCTTCCTAAGTTTCAATACAGTTCTACTGCAAAATCATTAGTAATGTATTTCTAGAGTTAACTAATTCGTAATTCATTTAAATTGAACATATCTCTATTCTGATTCCAGATATGCTTTTTGTGTGTTTTCTAATGCAAAACCTTGTCGTAAAATTATTTTTTCCTGTAAAAGCTTTTCAGGTCCATTTATATATAATAACCCCGTTTTGTCAACAGGGTTTTCACTGACTTTTGCTGCTAAAAGCACCTTTTCCCTCTACCAATTACGATACCTTTCTATAGTAAAATCATATACAATACATTTCTATAGTAAAATCATATACAATAAATTTCTATAGTAAAATCATTTACAATACATTTCTATAGTAGGACCATTAGTAAGGTAGCGCCTTCTTTGCTCAAGATTCAGTCCTTTGGTTGTTGAAACTGGACTGACCTGCCTAGAGCGCAGGCCTGAGCGATGCTATATAGAGGCCGTGCGCTGCCCAGACTACATGCCCGACTCACTCTCGGCCGTACCAATAAGATCCAAAAGGATACAGGACATTACCTTCGGGGACGGCTGAAGAAGTTGCCGGAAAATTGGAAAATCACTCCGGGATTTTCTCCGGATTTACTTCCATAGCCTTTTCCGTGTCTTGAATAGGCAGCCGAGAGTAAGATCATTAACACTATATTATAACCCTGCTCTGTACTTAACGCTTTTCAAACCGTTTTAGTGTCAAAGTATAATGTATGGTTATTTGATTCGTGCTTTTATAAAGGTCAATCAAGTTTTTTTTACTGAGGTTCTGTATATACGAGATGAAGTAAAAAAAAAAATTACTCTGCTATTTTTTTCTTTTTGTTAACAAATGATTTTACATTTATTGCTTTAGAAAGAACAAGTTAAAGGCGTACCGGAAATAAGCAACCTTCTAAAAAACATTAGTCAGGCAGTGCGC